TTATATTTTCTCCTTCTATAACTGCTCGAAATTCATCAATAAGTATATTGTCAACTTATGTTCTTTGCTTTTATGAATATACAGAATATCTGTTATAATCTTTATTGCCTCAGAAAAAGGCAAATGATAATTTCATAGAAAAAGCGCTTCTACTTGTTAATACAGTAGGATTACTTATAGGAAATATGTATAAAGGATAAAAATTCAATTTCAATGTTAGGCCAGATCAATTTGATTTGGTGGTTTACATTACCCCCCTCAGTAAAAAAATTTTGGGGGTATACATATATGATTTTGGCCGGAGAGCTAATGCCGGGCGGAATTAAGACTAGAAATGGTAAGAATCCGAAAACTGAACGAACATAAAGACGAGCAAGGTCAGGCCGATAATTTCCGAAAGAAAAAAAATTTTAATAAAATTTACTATGTATACATTACATTCCCCCCCCTTTTGAAAAAGGGATGTAATGTAAACCACCAAATCAAGTTGGTTTCGCCTTATTGTGACAAGGTAAATTATTGTATAATCACATTATGATTAATTATTGCGCCAACAAATGAAGCGATATGACATGACGTACTGACATTCAAAAGTATAACTCAATCACGCAAAAAACTAATAAGCATAGCTCTCTTCGATTTTATTTTCTACTCTGATTAGCAGAAATGTCAAAATTCAACTTTCGCAATTTTCGATAATCTAATGTCAAAATCTGATGTTAAAGAAATAGGTTGGCTAAATTCGAGCTGTCTTTCTGTGCAACCAGGACATATAGTGCATATACATATAGAAGTCTTGGATAGGTAAGAAAATCGGCACAAAATTTTATGACCAAAAAAGTCGTATTTATACGATATTATTTAAAATTACCCGATAATGATAATAATAATAATCATTTCCTCCGGTCAATGGGCAATAGACATATTGAATAAAGTATAGAGAGTTACACGAAAAAGAAATGTTAATTAATTTGGACATATTGAACAAAGTATAGACGTGTTACACGAAAATGTTATATCAAAATTTTACTACGTACGTACGTACGGTATAGTAGAAAATGTAGCACCTAATCTAACAGAGGTCTTTTTCAGTTTTTAAACAGCTGCCCTATCTTGTTTAATGTGTCGAAAGTGCATCAAGGATGCGTCGAATGTGTGCTTTTTTCTGCATTGCGAATACAAAGTAAAATTTCCAATTATATATGATTGCTTTGTATTCGTAACGCGAGAAGAGCTCTCCTTATGCGAACCTGAGTTACACTCAACGCACCCTGATGCACTTCGACGCACTAAACAAGGTAGAACCGCTGTTAAAAACCGAAAAGAACCTCTGCTCCTAACATTGGATATTCAGTAACTTTAGATGTTTATAATTTAAAATATGAAATTGAAGTTCTATATAACAATTTTTTAATCGCACACAACTCAATTCTGCAATTTAACATAATTGGTACGTACGTATAACAAGTTCAATGATCTATATTTAGCAATTTGTCAGCCTTTTAGACGTTGATTGAGAAAAAAAAAATGTTAAACATCCATAAACCCAATTCGGAACTTTGATAGAATGTGGTCAAATATGCGCATAAATAAGCCTATGGTGGTGTAACATTATTCGCGTTTGGAACAATAAAAACCTCCAAAAATCTTTAATGTAAAGAGTTCATAACCATTCTTGCACTTACCGGTCCTTAAAATGTCTTGGATACCTGCATTTACCGATAAAATAGAACACCCAATTCCTATTGCTAATTTATTAAAGTCGAAGCAAGCAGCTCCTTCACCTCCACCTAGACCTATTACCATTTCTATCGTTGGTGCTGGACAATGGTCTGTTTTAATTTTGTTTTTCGAAAACCATAAAAACTGTCAGTTGATCTATTTACTGATATCGTTTTGCATGAAATTGTCTTGCATAGAGGATCTGTCTATGCATATTATACCAAAATTGATCCACAATGGGCAAAAGTAGTTGCTGTTGCCGAACCTGTGGATATCCGAAGGAATAAGAT